AAATGTATTAGATGGAAATTTACACGGAAATAAAAGTAACCAGAAGTGTCGTAATGAAGTGGCATCTATCGAATATAGCAAAATTAATAAGATGTTCCGATTTATTGCTAACTTATCATTTAAGAAAAGAAAAAACACAGATCACTAATAAGACAGAAGAAGAAATAGAACTAGAACAGTTAGCATCCACTACAGTTAGTAAGGCCAGAATCACCAGGGGGTAGACTGAATTTATACCCTGAGTAAACCATACATTAATTACAGGGGGGATGTATAGGCACGACTGTGCCACACACACACATTCTACACACACATTCTACACACATTCTACACACAGACTCTACACACACATTCTACACACAGACTCTACACACACATTCTACACACAGACTCTACACACACATTCTACACACAGACTCTACACACACATTCTACACACAGACTCTACACACACATTCTACACACACATTTTACACACAGACTCTACACACACATTCTACACACAGATTCTACACAAACATTCTACACACACATTCTACACACACATTCTACACACACATTCTACACACACATTCTACACACACATGCTACACACACATTCTACACACAGACTCTACACACACATTCTACACACACATTCTACACACAGACTCTACACACACATTCTACACACAGACTCTACACACACATTCTACACACAGACTCTACACACACATTCTACACACACATTCTACACACACATTCTACACACAGACTCTACACACACATTCTACACACAGATTCTACACACACATTCTTCACACACATTCTACACACACATTCTACACACACATTCTACACACAGACTCTACACGCACATTCTACACACAGACTCTACACACACATTCTACACACAGACTCTACACACACATTCTACACACAGACTCTACACACACATTCTACACACACATTCTACACACAGACTCTACACACACATTCTACACACAGACTCTACACACACATTCTACACACAGACTCTACACACACATTCTACACACAGACTCTACACACACATTCTACACACACATTCTACACACAGACTCTACACACACATTCTACACACAGACTCTACACACACATTCTACACACAGACTCTACACACACATTCTACACACAGACTCTACACACACATTCTACACACAGACTCTACACACACATTCTACACACACATTCTACACACACATTCTACACACACATTCTACACACACATTCTACACACACATTCTACACACAGACTCTACACACACATTCTACACACAGATTCTACACACACATTCTACACACACATTCTACAGGCAAGCTCTAAAAACAGACTCTGCACACACATTCTACAGACAAGCTCTAAAAACAGACTCTACACACACATTCTACACACAGACTCTACACAGACATTCTACACACAGACATTCTACACACACATTCTACACACACATTCTACACACACATTCTACACACAGACTCTACACACACATTCTACACACACATTCTACACACACATTCTACACACACATTCTACACACACATTCTACACACACATTCTACACACAGACTCTACACACACATTCTACACACAGATTCTACACACACATTCTACACACACATTCTACAGGCAAGCTCTAAAAACAGACTCTGCACACACATTCTACAGACAAGCTCTAAAAACAGACTCTACACACACATTCTACACACAGACTCTACACAGACATTCTACACACAAACTCTACACACACATTCTACACACACATTCTACACACACATTCTACACACACATTCTACACACACATTCTACACACACATTCTACAGACAAGCTCTAAAAACAGACTCTGCACACACATTCTACAGACAAGCTCTAAAAACAGACTCTACACACACATTCTACACACAGACTCTACACACCCATTCTACACACAGACTCTACACACACATTCTACACACAGACTCTACACACACATTCTACACACACATTCTACACACAGACTCTACACACACATTCTACACACAGACTCTACACACACATTCTACACACAGACTCTACACACACATTCTACACACACATTCTACACACAGACTCTACACACACATTCTACACACAGATTCTACAGACAAGCTCTAAAAACAGACTCTGCACACACATTCTACAGACAAGCTCTAAAAACAGACTCTACACACACATTCTAAACAGAGACTACACACACATTCTACACACACATTCTACACACACATTCTACACACACATTCTACAGACAAGCTCTAAAAACAGACTCTGCACACACATTCTACAGACAAGCTCTAAAAACAGACTCTACACACACATTCTACACACAGACTCTACACACACATTCTACACACAGACTCTACACACACATTCTACACACAGACTCTACACACACACATTCTACACACAGACTCTACACACACATTCTACACACAGACTCTACACACACATTCTACACACACATTCTACACACAGACTCTACACACACATTCTACACACACATTCTACACACAGACTCTACACACACATTCTACACACAGACTCTACACACACATTCTACACACAGACTCTACACACACATTCTACACACAGACTCTACACACACATTCTACACATACATTCTACACACACATTCTACACACAGACTACACACACATTCTACACACAGACTCTACACACACATTCTACACACAGAATCTACACACACATTCTACACACAGACTCTACACACACATTCTACACACAGACTCTACACACACATTCTACACACACATTCTACACACACATTCTACACACACATTCTACACACACATTCTACACAAACATTCTACACACAGACTCTACACACACATTCTACACACAGATTCTACACACACATTCTACACACACATTCTACACACACATTCTACAGACAAGCTCTAAAAACAGACTCTGCACACACATTCTACAGACAAGCTCTAAAAACAGACTCTGCACACACATTCTACAGACAAGCTCTAAAAACAGACTCTACACACACATTCTACACACAGACTCTACACACACATTCTACACACAGACTCTACACACACATTCTACACACAGACTCTACACACACATTCTACACACACATTCTACACACAGACTCTACACACACATTCTACACACAGACTCTACACACACATTCTACACACAGACTCTACACACACATTCTACACACACATTCTACACACACATTCTACACACAGACTCTACACACACATTCTGCACACAGATTCTACAGACAAGCTCTAAAAACAGACTCTGCACACACATTCTACAGACAAGCTCTAAAAACAGACTCTACACACACATTCTACACAGAGACTACACACACATTCTACACACACATTCTACACACAGACTCTACACACACATTCTACACACAGATTCTACAGACAAGCTCTAAAAACAGACTCTGCACACACATTCTACAGACAAGCTCTAAAAACAGACTCTACACACACATTCTACACAGAGACTACACACACATTCTACACACACATTCTACACACACATTCTACAGACAAGCTCTAAAAACAGACTCTGCACACACATTCTACAGACAAGCTCTAAAAACAGACTCTACACACACATTCTACACAGAGACTACACACACATTCTACACACACATTCTACACACAGACTCTACACACACATTCTACACACAGATTCTACAGACAAGCTCTAAAAACAGACTCTGCACACACATTCTACAGACAAGCTCTAAAAACAGACTCTACACACACATTCTACACAGAGACTACACACACATTCTACACACACATTCTACACACACATTCTACAGACAAGCTCTAAAAACAGACTCTGCACACACATTCTACAGACAAGCTCTAAAAACAGACTCTACACACACATTCTACACACAGACTCTACACACACATTCTACACACACATTCTACACACAGACTCTACACACACATTCTACACACAGACTCTACACACACACATTCTACACACAGACTCTACACACACATTCTACACACAGACTCTACACACACATTCTACACACACATTCTACACACACATTCTACACACAGACTCTACACACAGACTCTACACACAGACTCTACACACACATTCTACACACAGACTCTACACACACATTCTACACACACATTCTACACACAGACTCTACACACACATTCTACACACAGACTCTACACACACATTCTACACACAGACTCTACACACACATTCTACACACACATTCTACACACACATTCTACACACAGACTCTACACACAGACTCTACACACACATTCTACACACACATTCTACACACAGACTCTACACACACATTCTACACACAGATTCAACAGACAGATTCTACACACATTCTGCACACATTCTTCACACAGATTCTACACACATTCTACACACAGATTTGACAGACAAATTCTACACACAGACTCTACAGACAAATCTACACACATATTCTACAAATTCTACACACACATTTTATAGACTTATTTTACAGACAGATTCTATGCACAGATTCTACAAATTCTACACACAGATTCTGCAGACAAATCTCAAACATAAAGTCTGCATGCAAATTCAACACATAATTTCTAGACACAAATTCTGGAATTTTCTGTATAAAATTCTACACACAAATTCTTAACAATGCAAATTAACACTACCAAGCTTTTGTGTTTTGAATAACTGGCAGTGTTCTTTACAAGATTCTTTCTATGTAGTTGCTAGATTCTAACTATGTAGCTGCCCATTTTCTTTCTCTATAACCTGATAAATCTTAGAACTTGCTTAAAGCTATCCATGATCGAGATCATTGTTACTACTGATAACCAATGAAAAAAAAAAATATATCGTTGGTCAACAAATTATTTTATATCCTTGAACAACAGATGATATCTAATCACAGATATCAAAAGATGATATCTAACTGATCTGAGATCTTACCCTGGGTACACATCCAGTGAGAGTGCATGTTTCTCTGTTGGAGTCGAAGATGATATAGAACTGCACCTGGCTGACAAATGAGACATTGTTGCTAACTGACACAGCCCAGCTGTCAGCTGATGGGACCATACATGTGGCGGTCTCAAGGTCAATGACTACAGCATCAACAGTTACTTGCTGTATGGCTGTGTTTATTTTTATTGATGTTCTTGAAACCTGGCAAACAACATATTGTGTGAAAAGCATACCGGTATATTACATCAAGATAGTGTATGAGAAATAAAACCAAGATAGTGTGTGAGAAACAGCATCAAGATATTTAGTGAAAAACAGCAGCAATACATTGTGTGAAAATCACATCAAGATATTGTGTGAGAAATGACATCAAAACATTGTTCTATCAAATTTCTATTACTTTCCTTCCTTTAAGTGCCAAACTAGATCACTAATCCATCATAGGCTACATAAATTAATATTAACTCAAACAACAACATCCAACAAACACTCATTTCTAGACAGTATCAATGAAATAACTTTCCCTTGTGAGAAGCTCAACTTTCCCTTGTGAGAAGCTCAACTTTCCCTTGTGAGAAGCTCAACTTTCCCTTGTGAGAAACTTAACTTTCCCTTGTGAGAAGCTCAACTTTCCCTTGTGAGAAGCTCAACTTTCCCTTGCTCAACTTTTCCATCCGTTGTGTCCTGGATAGACTTTTAGATGTTTATGCTGCCCTGGAAGACAACTGTCTATGGTGCCCTGGAAGACAACTGTCTATGGTGTCCTGGAAGACAACTGTCTATGCTGTCCTGGAAGACAACTGTCTATGCTGCCCTGGAAGACAACTGTCTATGCTGCCCTGGAAGACAACTGTCTATGGTGTCCTGGAAGACAACTGTCTATGCTGTCCTGGAAGACAACTGTCTATGCTGCCCTGGAAGACAACTGTCTATGGTGCCCTGGAAGACTACTGTCTATGCTGTCCTGGAAGACAACTGTCTATGCTGCCCTGGAAGACAACTGTCTATGCTGCCCTGGAAGACTACTGTCTATGCTGCCCTGGAAGACAACTGTCTATGGTGCCCTTGATGACAACTGTCTATGCTGTCCTGGAAGACAACTGTCTATGCTGCCCTGGAAGACAACTGTCTATGGTGTCCTGGAAGACAACTGTCTATGCTGTCCTGGAAGACAACTGTCTATGCTGCCCTGGAAGACAACTGTCTATGGTGCCCTGGAAGACAATTGTCTATGGTGCCCTGGAAGACAACTGTCTATGCTGTCCTGGAAGACAACTGTCTATGCTGCCCTGGAAGACAACTGTCTATGGTGTCCTGGAAGACAACTGTCTATGCTGCCCTGGAAGACAACTGTCTATGGTGTCCTGGAAGACAACTGTCTATGCTGTCCTGGAAGACAACTGTCTATGCTGCCCTGGAAGACAACTGTCTATGGTGCCCTGGAAGACAATTGTCTATGGTGCCCTGGAAGACAACTGTCTATGCTGCCCTGGAAGACAACTATCTATGGTGTCCTGGAAGACAACTGTCTATGCTGTCCTGGAAGACAACTGTCTATGCTGCCCTGGAAGACAACTGTCTATGGTGCCCTGGAAGACAATTGTCTATGGTGCCCTGGAAGACAACTGTCTATGCTGCCCTCGAAGACAACTGTCTATGCTGCCCTGGAAGACAACTGTCTATGGTGCCCTGGAAAACAACTGTCTATGCTGCCCTGGAAGACAACTGTTTATGTTGCCCTGGATGACAACTGTCTATGCTGCCCTGGAAGACAACTGTCTATGGTGTCCTGGAAGACAACTGTCTATGCTGTCCTGGAAGACAACTGTCTATGCTGCCCTGGAAGACAACTGTCTATGGTGCCCTGGAAGACAATTGTCTATGGTGCCCTGGAAGACAACTGTCTATGCTGCCCTCGAAGACAACTGTCTATGCTGCCCTGGAAGACAACTGTCTATGGTGCCCTGGAAAACAACTGTCTATGCTGCCCTGGAAGACAACTGTTTATGTTGCCCTGGATGACAACTGTCTATGCTGCCCTGGAAGACAACTGTCTATGGTGCCCTGGAAGACAACTGTCTATGCTGCCCTGGAAGACAACTGTCTATGGTGCCCTGGAAGACAACTGTCTATGGTGCCCTGGAAGACTACTGTCTATGCTGCCCTGGAAGACAACTGTCTATGCTGCCCTGGATGACAACTGTCTATGCTGCCCTGGAAGACAACTGTCTATGGTGCCCTGGAAGACAACTGTCTATGCTGCCCTGGAAGACAACTGTCTATGCTGCCCTGGAAGACAACTATGGTGCCCTGGAAGACAACTGTTTATGTTGCCCTGGAAGACAACTGTCTATGCTGCCCTGGGAGACAACTGTCTATGGTGCCCTGGATGACAACTGTCTATGCTGCCCTGGAAGACAACTGTCTATGTTGCCCTGGATGACAACTGTCTATGGTGCCCTGGAAGACAACTGTCTATGATGCCCTGGAAGACAACTGTTTATGTTGCCCTGGATGACAACTGTCTATGATGCCCTGGAAGACAACTGTCTATGCTGCCCTGGAAGACAACTGTTTATGTTGCCCTGGATGACAACTGTCTATGGTGCCCTGGATGACAACTGTCTATGGTGCCCTGGAAGACAACTGTTTATGCTGCCCTGGAAGACTACTGTCTATGCTGCCCTGGAAGACAACTGTCTATGGTGCCCTGGAAGACAACTCTCTATGCTGCCCTGGATGACAACTGTCTATGGTGCCCTGGAAGACAACTGTTTATGTTGCCCTGGATGACAACTGTCTATGGTGCCCTGGATGACAACTGTCTATGCTGCCCTGGAAGACAACTGTTTATGGAGCCCTGGATGACAACTGTCTATGATGCCCTGGAAGACAACTGTCTATGGTGCCCTGGAAGACAATTGTCTATGGTGCCCTGGGAGACAACTGTCTATGTTGACCTGGAAGAAGGTTAGCTGCAAGATTTCATGAAACTCATCACATACCCAGCATATACAATCTGAAAACACTGTAGACTGGAATAAATGTGCATGGATCAAGATGTGAGTCAAGACAGAACTGCCTGCTGCCATAGGTGGCCATGTTTGTAGTTTATAGATCTGTACTAGGGTGGAGAAAGCCCTTAGTACTAAAATTAAAAATAAGGGAAAAATAGTTCGTTTAGGTGGGGGCTAGAAACAAATGTATTCTAGTCCAGGCATTAGATCTTCTGTGTAAAGTCTAATAAGGTCCAGGTAACGCCAAAACTAAACTAAACTAGAAAACTAAACTAACAAACTAGGCACACTACTTACAAATCCTAAGCTGAAGAAAACAACTGTAACTATGAATACAACGTTGAACATAATTTTATTTAACTTCACATCAGCATGGCCAAAAGTAACGACATAAACGACCACGTGCTGGAACAAAACCTCAATTACCTATGGTCGCCATACCCATAGACCGGCCCATTGTGCAAAGCATCAGTCTGTTAGGTTCGGCTTCCACAGGTTGGTCCGGAAGTCAAAACAGGCTTGAAACTTTCAGTCGGCCGTTTAAATACCCAGTGGGCTGAATTTTCCCCATCTTCCGCCCCGACTATTAACTGCCAATGTTGATCCTATTTGCCAGTTGGCATTTTCAAACCAGGATAAACCTTCAAAGACCTTTAATCTGTTGTACTGTAGTCTTCGTAGCTTCCACCCTGTTACAGATCAATAAATAAACACTTACTTCAAGTTTCTGAAGGTGACACTTCAAATGTCCTTTAGCAAATGGATAGCCAGTCAATGTTATCTTCTTGCAGCCTCCATCATCCAACTGAATGTCACAGATGTTTCCCCCCAAAATGCCAGTTAAGGCTGGTGGCTTTGTCCAGTCGATAGAGCAGTCAAACCCAAGGTAAGGATCTCTACAGCTACATGAAAACCCTGAAATGTGTCATCGTGGGATATCAACTGAAAACATGCAACCCCTGAAATATGTTATCATAGGATATCAACTAAAAACATGCAACCCCTGAAATATGTTATCATAGGATATCAACTGAAAACATGCCACCTTTAAAATATGTTATCATGGGATATCAACTGAAAACATGCAACCCCTGAAATATGTTATCATGGGATATCAACTGAAAACATGCAACCCCTGAAATATGTTATCATGGGATATCAACTGAAAACATGCAACCCTTGAAATATGTTATCATGGGATATCAACTGAAAACATGCAACCCTTGAAATATGTTATCATGGGATATCAACTGAAAACATGCCACCTTTGAAATATGTTATTGTGGGATATCAACCGAAAACATGCAACCTTTGAAATGTGTTATCATGGGATATCAACCGAAAATGTGCAGCCTCTGAAATATGTCATTGCAGGATATAAACTCAAAAAATACAAACCCTGAAATGTGTTTTTGTGGGATTTCAACTGAAAACTTGCAATCCCTGAAATATGGCATGGTTAGATATCAACTGGAAACATACAAACCCTAAAAATGTCATTGCAGAATGTCAACTGAAAACATAAAAATTCATGAGGTATGCGTCCTTATCAGTGACAAGTGAAATAATACAGATGTGCTGATTTTTACAGACCGGTCCATTTTACGAGGACATACAAGTGCATGGGCATGTGCAGCTCGTACTTCAGGCAGAAGATTTCAAGAAGCCAGCGGTGACCTCTCTGTGACTACCAGCAGCATGACGATAGAGGTGATGGCGGTGACACAAAATTTCATGTGGCTAGAGTCACAGGACTATTTCCACATGTGTGTGCTGAGTGATTCTTTGAGCATGATCTGGCAGGTTATGCAGTGGATTCAGTCATTGCAAAACTCTCCTGTGCGTGCAGTTACCTTCATATTTGTCCAAGGGCATGCATGTGTTGTTGGTAAAGAACTGATAGATTGGCAGGTGCCCCATTAAAGATGGCCAGCCCATGGATCATGCAGACATTGCCATTGCCCTTAGAGAGATAGGATGTTCTGAGGATTTTGGAAGCAACGTGTCCACATCACTGCTAAGAATACAAGAATTGGGAGTGAAGATCAGCACAGCCAAGCATGAGAAGCACACAGGATGCACACAAAGTCTTGTCAACCAGCACTATAAACCACCCAATACTGATGAATATGTTAAAGGGGGAATCTGAGCACCCATGAATGTGTCCGGAGTGCTGTGAGGATAATGCAACTCATAATTTATAACTCAAACCCTGAAATATGTCACTGTCGGATATTAAATAAACACATAAAACTCTTGAAATAAATTACTGTAGGAAAAAAAAGGCTACCATGTGAGCCCCAACGTCTGATAATAAATCAATATATCACTTTTTAAACCAGATTGCTTGTTAAACTCTAAGTGTATCTTGTCTTACATTTTTTACTAAAGTGTTTACATTTGGTGATGGCTTTTATAAAAAAAATAATTCTTGACCAGAAGGAGGGTTTCAGGAGGGGTCATAAGCCCTGTCTGTCCACTGACTCATGA